CTACAACTCGGGCTTTCAATTCAAAATAAAATTATATAAATTCACAGCGAGTTTATTTGCATTTTCAATTTTATTAAACCATTCAATGATATTAGATTGATGTCTCAATTCAAATGAGACTGGGCTACGGAGTTATAATTCAAAGGAGTCTACTTGGGATACATATGCGTGTAATTAACAGTGGATACCCGGAAGAATCGCGGACCTTGTTCCGACGATCATTTGTGGTATCGTGGGACAAATGGCGCCATCCATCATTAATATCGACTGCAAATAAAACGAATGCAATTTCTACTCTACCGACACTGTTTGACAGACTGCAAGAACCGTGCACAGATGTGGTTGCGTACAGTTGTTCCCTCACATTTTTCACAAATCTGAGGACAGCCGTGGATGTATGTACAGTTGCGGTAGTAAAGTACGAACGGGCCACCCCCCCAGAGTCACTGCCCCGCCAACCAAACCCTCTAGCGTGTTATGATTCAGTTACTCTAAAAGTTAATTTTCATTGGCCACCACTCTAAATTTCCACCAATCCGAACCCTTCAAAGGAATTTCAATATTCTCGGTATTATCGATTCCACAAATTCCTGTTAATTCAATGTAAAACGTCAGTGCTCCAGGTGACATTTGTTTACGGGCCGGTTGCTGCGTACACATAATACAGGAGTGTTTTTTACTGTATCGTCAATTGATCGAGTCGATGTGTTTTGTCATAATCAAAGATGCCAGGCACTGGAGTAAGTACAGAAGTTCCAACAAATTCTATTACCATTTAGACGCCATAAAACATGTAAATCAGCTCTACCCCATAGAGACAAATAATTCAATCATTAAACAGTAGTTAAGAACCACATTCAGTCGCCAAACAGTTGAACCAAATAATGATTACCCAGTCTAATTTTCCTAATTCGGAATAAACTAGAATTGAAAAAGGAAAAAAAGGTTAAACTTGACAACAAAACTCTCACCAGGAACTAAATATATATTAATTACTCAGAAATAATTGATTTCAATGAGTAAATTCGGATCCTTCGCTTGAATTCATTCCTATTTGTTGCAATATTTAAGAGAGAACGAGACAAACAGAGATGAGTTGCGCCAAATAGACATTTTTTACTTTTTTTTCAAATGTTGATGACTTATTGAATTTTTTATGAGAATGATTTCCTCTTCTATAAAAAGTGCAATCCTTCCACTTTGAGATGAGCCTAGACTGAGCTCAATTGATCAATTTCCTTCTAATTTATGAACATTGGAAGGAAAACTAAACCTATCGATTTTGCCTCAGCTCCTTTGAAGCACTTATTGAGGAATTAAATTCAGAAAATGAGCAGTCCTTTCCAAAATGTCTACTTGTCTTTTATGAAATGAAAATCATGCAGTTCATATTGCACTCGATAATAAAACTTACACCCAGACTGTAAACCCAGTGACTCCATTAATTTCGCAAAGGAAAAATGAACTAGTTGAAATGGAAAACGTTTATCCCGGTCGATTGGTCAATCCAAACAAATCAAGAGAATTCATAATTCGATGAAATTCATGTAGTTCCCGTTGCACTCGGCCCCAAAACCTCCACCAAGAGCAGTACATCCATTGACCCCTCTGATTTCCGAATAGGAAAACGAACTTGGTGAGATAGAAAACGTCCGCGTGGTCGTTCGAGTTCGTCCACTGAATGGAAAAGAGTTGGACGGTCACTGCAAGAGGATAATCAAAGTAGATCGTTTGAATGCAGAGTTGACAGTTGAGAATCCAAATGCTCAGCAGGGTGAGCCCCCCAAGGTATTCTCCTTCGACGCAGCCTTCGACGTGGACTCGACCCAGGTCGACATCTACAATGAAACAGCCCGTCCAATCGTCGACAAAGTTCTGCAGGGCTACAATGGCACGATATTTGCGTACGGCCAGACTGGCACGGGTAAAACCTACACAATGTCTGGAGCGAAAACCTCTCCCCAATTGCGAGGCATCATTCCAAACACATTTGCCCACATATTCGGGCACATTGCTAAGGCAGATGAGAATCAGAAGTTCCTGGTACGTGCGGCGTACCTGGAGATTTACAACGAAGAGATCAGAGACTTGCTTGGAAAAGACCAGAACACTAGGCTTGAAGTGAAGGAGAGACCTGACATTGGGGTCTTCGTCAAGGACCTCAGTGGTTATGTCGTCAACAATGCAGACGATCTGGACAGAATAATGACCCTGGGTAACAAGAACAGAGTGGTCGGTGCCACTGCTATGAATGTCTCCAGCTCGAGGTCCCATGCCATCTTCACGATAACCGTTGAGTCTAGTCAAATTGGGGAGGATGGAGAGCCCCATGTCAAGATGGGAAAGCTTCACCTGGTGGATCTCGCTGGGTCCGAGAGACAGAGCAAGACTAAGGCCACTGGGATTAGACTGCGTGAAGCTACCAAGATTAATCTCTCACTGTCGACCTTGGGAAATGTTATCTCGGCTCTTGTGGATGGTCAGAGCTCTCACGTGCCTTACAGAAACTCTAAACTTACGAGGCTGCTGCAGGATTCACTTGGTGGAAATTCAAAGACTCTTATGGTGAGATATGTGGATTAATATCCACTCATTGATAAATTCCATTCTTAAATATTCTCATGAAATAAAAACAGATTAGTAGTATTATTTTTTGGGAGCAATGCATTCATTTCTGCTGATAAGTGAGAGATTAGTATTTTTTTGATGAATTGAGAACTAATGTAATTTTTTGGTATTCTCGATAACGAGAACAACTGACAACATGATAAGATGATCTCTAATTCATTCTGAAGTCTAAAAATACGTCTTGAGAAATACTCTCAATTTACCTCCCTCGATTTTCAATTCTTCCAATTCTAATGACTTTTTCATCGACACTTCTAACTAAATAATGTTCTTTCACAGTGTGCAAATGTGAGTCCAGCCGACATAAACTACGACGAAACAATAAGCACCCTTCGCTACGCAAACCGTGCCAAGAACATAAAGAATCGTGCGAGAATAAACGAGGATCCGAAAGACGCCCTCCTCCGTCAGTTTCAGGACGAGATCGAGCAGCTCCGCAAACAACTCGAGGAAAACGGTGCAGAGCTCTCCGAATCAGAGGGTGAGTCCGATGAATCAGAGACAGGTGAGACGAAAAGAGAGCGACAAATTCGTCGACGCAGTCAGATGCTAACGATGGAGGAACTGGAAGACAAGGACCTAGAATCTCTGGAGAAAGTTGACAAGGCAGAGCACAATGACAAGAGCCCTGATGACAAGGACGTTATCGAGCTGAAGAGAACCCAGACCGAGAAAGAAGCGCTTCGTCAGAAGATGACTAATCTCCAGAATAAAATACTGGTTGGAGGTGAGAATCTCCTGGAGAAAGCTGAGGCCCAGGAGCAGATGTTGGCAGCAGCAGCTGTGGAGCTGGATCAGAGGAAGAGGCGTGAAGAGCAATTGAAGAAAGCTATTGAGGAGAAGGAAGCAGAGAGGATTGACATTGAGGAGAAGTACTCGTCCCTGCAGGAGGAGGCTGCTGGGAAGACTAAGAAATTGGCCAAAGTCTACACAATGCTTATGTCAGCGAAGGCTGAGCTGCTCGATCTCCAGGAGGAACACCAACGAGAGATGGAGGGACTCCTGGAAGGTGTGAGAGGCATTGGAAGAGAGCTTCAGCTTCAGGAGCTCATTCTCAATAGCTACATTCCAGTGCAATACCAGACGATGATCGAGAAGTACGTCCACTGGAACGAGGACATTGGCGAGTGGCAGCTCAAGTGTGTCGCCTACACTGGCAACAACATGAGAAAAGCCCAGGCTACACCACCCATTGGAAACTCCAAGGATCAACCCCAGCTCGACCTGTCCAATCTTTATTTAACTTACAACACAGAGCCAGAGAGCAACTTCACTCAGCCCAAGAAAATCAGAGGACGCTCTGGAGTCCCTCGACCCACCACCGCCCACCGAAGGACCCCTCATTGAAGTGCTCGGTCCACGAGTGTCAATTCCAATTTCGTTTAGAATAGGATATTTAAATACTGTCAAGTCTTGATGGGGTTTTTTATTGGAATTATGTCTTCGTGTTTATTTAATTACAGAGCAGTATTATTGTTTAACTTTTTTGTACGTTTTTTTATAGGTTTTCGATTTGTTTTTAGGGTAATTCTGCTGCTTACCAAAATATTAGTGTCTCAATTGCTTTGTGTTGTTATTAATTATTGAGGAGAATAATAAAATCACAGATTATCATGATTTGTCGCCTTTGTAGTCATTAATTTAGATTTATTAACATTTTATTAGTTCCTTCAGCAGACTTTTTGCCAAAGTTTCTTACTGATCTACTGTTCATTCCGTTCATCGAACTGAAAAATCTTCAGAACCATAATGAAGAATTTTAATGAATAGTAGTATTTATAAATGGCGAAATGTTATTTATTAATTTTGTGGGATCTTCTCAGACGCGATGAAATGGAATATAACAAATGTGTTAACATAGTTCAATATTGCACTGTATATCATTGTTGTTGAACGTCTACTAGTGATATCAGGATATCATACGAATATAAATAAAGGCAATCGGTTCGTCGTAGCGTCGATAACTCGTGTCGCGTTGTTTAATTGCTTCGAGATTGTTGTAACAACATCTACTCCCCATTTTCTCATAATTTGACATGAACATGATTCCATAGTCCGGTAATTAAATAGTGGGAACATTGAGAGAAATATAATAGTCTATATTGATGTTTACGTGACGATATCACCATTCTCATTCGGAATTGGAATAATTCTGTTTCTCATTGAGAAACTACTCTTTCATTTGTACAATTTCTATTTATTTGAGTATAAAAATTACACGTTAACGTTACAAAAACATCTCAATATTGCAATGGATTTAATCATCAATTTAGATCCATTGGAGGGAGAACTATTGAACAGTGACATCATTGAATTCCTTCACATAAGCCTCACGATATTGTTTGATCCACTTCGAAATTGAAAATTTGTGATAATTCCGAGCTGCGATTACCGAGTAAGGATCGTTGGGATGACTCCCCCTGAGGTCGAGATGGTGAGCCCCCTTCGGAATGATTACAGCAATAGCTGATTCAGACAAATTTCTCAAAACTCCACCACTGGACCAAGGATCCAGTAAACCATTGCTAAATACAATGTTGGTAGCTGTACTCAGTTCCTGACAGCCGTAGGTCTTGCAGGCCAAGTCTGGCTGGGGCTTGATTCCATATTTCTGGACGCACTCGCCAGTGTAATTCGACAAATTCCACGGCTGAGGCTCAAACATGTCGTTGATCCCATCGGCACACATGGGCATCACCATCTCTGTGCACGCTTGATAATACCATAAATCTGCTCCCAAATTCGGTGACGCGTCTTCGGTGGCAATGCATCGGGTCTTTCCAGTGTAATTCGTGTAAATATTCAGTGCTGATTTCAAGGATGAGAGGATTGCTTTGTCCGATCCTGTTGCATCCTTGAGGGGCTGACAAAATTTCTGAAAATACAATGGAATTGAAAATAAAATAGGAATCAGATCGTTGTGTCTTTAACACGTCCATTATTTTCACATGAAGTGGAGAAACACGATGATTCGAGAACGAGAAACGTTTTCAGATCGAAAACAGCCCGATAGAAACGCCAAGTGCATACGATAGAGAGTTCTATTCGATTTTTATTGGAATTCCATTGAAAATATTAATCTATTTTTCACCGATCGTACTGAATAAAATCTGTTCTTCTAAATAGAAATATTTATATTCGACAAATCAATAGATTTTTACCTTTTTATACAACTTATTCTGCTGAAAGGGTTTCCCCAGAAATTTCTCGGCTTAATTTTCGAAATTCGATGCCGAGAAATTTCTATAAAAATTTTGCTATAATTGTTTTGCCATTTTAAAACCAAAATATTCGGAAAAGCTGCAAAATTTTTCAATAACATCGGCGAATAAGCTCAATTTTTCTATTCAGTTTATAATATCTTCACAGTGAAAAGATTCACCAGAAATTATCATAGAATCGCTTCCATAGAAAATTCGGGAAACTCCAAGGTTCACAAATAAATTCCCCTAAAGTCCACTACGAAAATATTCGCAAAACAATCTGCATCTCAATTTCTCATAATCATCTCCTTCCGCCGCTTCATCACATATTTACAGTAACAGTATTTACGTTTATTGGATAAGCCGGCAATGGCGCTAGGAAATTAGCTTCATAAGGATAATCTACCATAGCTAGATTACCATAAACATTGTACAACCAGTCTTTCAATTGTTTGATGTCAGTGGAATTGGTAATGTTCTGGCACAATTTCCACTCCGCTGACAACCATTTTTTCCCTTCGTCTGCGGAAAACAATAGAATACAGTCTATCCTCCAATTGTTCATTTATCTGCATACAACAGTGCACTTTTTGAATACCTGTGGAAGTTAGATTATTAATAGCGTTCCAGGACTTTCGAATGACTTTAGGACAGACATCACTCGCTGCTCGAAAATCTGACGTTACGATGCGATTAAATGCTTGGCAGTCTGTGACACCGGTGAATTGGAGAATTGGAGCTGACGCTGCTATTGCTCTGATAACGGAGAATGCATTTCATTATGGACAGATAATTTTGAATCTCCGGCGTTAGTGTGGATGGTGTGGCAATATCTGCCTACCTTTTCACAAATACTATCTATTTGTTAATAATTTTGTGTTATTGAGTGCCAGAAGTCGAGAATGCAATGAAACACTGACGTTCGTGTACGTCATTTTTGCTTTCGAATCGAAAAATTGTGTCTTTCAAATTCACGTTTTCGACTTTTGGTGTTATATCAAGCCGTTAAATATATTTTGATCGCAATTAGATAGATGTTAACGATTCATTGGTCACGCTATGAGCGCCGCGCCGCACTTTTTCTGATTTTTTAAATTACACAGCAGTAAAGCCTCAGAAAAATTTGGAACAATTTAACATCTGATTTAGAATTATCTAGAAGCTATCCATGAAAATATCCGCTAAAAATATCATAAGTAGTTGGATTTTCAATTTTTTGTTCCGAAACTCCGGGCCAAACATGGCAACTTTGAGCTTGAATATATAATTAAGGGTAACACTGAACATAAATAAAAATCTCACGGGACGTCTTCAAGTATACGATCTAGATCACTTGATTTTTTGTCCGATTTTTTCTAAATCTTCCAAGTTTATCATTATGTCGATTTATGCCGGTACGGCGCGACGCGACCAACGGCGTTCGTAACGTTTGCGCGACTAATGGAGTGTTAAATAGAATTTTGGGATATTCGAAGCTTGGCAATATCAAAAATTTACAGTGAGGTCCGGAAGGAATTGCGCTAATTGATATTTTTTCGCGGCTCAGCTGAGCTATTCCCCACTAGGAATGTGCAAAAATTTTGCGACACGTCATATGACCGTCACATGACTGTCACATGATGGATAAATTATGATGGCATTAACATATGGCCGTCAAATTCCAACTAAATAAATCACGGTCACTCCTCAATTTTATTACATAATATTTTGTGCAACAAATTCCACGTCCGAACACAAATTACACGACCGTCATGTTCCATCTAAATAGCAGTAACAATGTCAAGCTACTCAAATTACGGCAAAAAAATATGGCCTCACATGGCAGCAATAAATTTAATACCGCATTTATTTTTTAATACTGCAAAAAAAAATGAGTTTGCACATGAAATTGTGATAACCAAGTTATGCCGCAGAAAGAGAGAACAGTACCAGGAACGAATGACTAAAGAATGTGGTATCATATCACGCTCAGTTATGTTATTTGTGCATCATCACCCTTGAATAATATGCGGATATTTCATACGGAACCAGGCGCTTAACATCCCGCCATAAGACCCTCCGAAAGCGATCACGGGACTGCGTTTAAGGGCTGCATCCGATTTGAGGTATTCGATCAAATCAACGTAATCCGCTAAAGCCTGTTGAGCAGTCAAGTAACCGAGGTGTTTTGCGTCCGCGGCCGATCTGTTTCCAAATGGCAGGGACTCTCCATAATATCGGTGCTCAGCGAATATTATCAATGCACCATAACTGGGCGCTATCTCCCACATGAATCCCTGAGATATTCGATAGTATATTGTTAATTATAATTAATTAATATTATATTTATTATGATATTAATTAATTAATTATATTGATCATAGTAATTAATAATAATATAAATAATGATTGACCCTAAAACCGCACACTGGGGCAAATGGGCCCGGTATGAACACTTTTTCGTATGTATTGCTGCTACTGCAGCATAAATATCTATTCTAAAAAACTTCATATACCTTCAGATTCTACACTGAGAGAAATATCGACGGAATATCACAAAACTAATTTCTTGTGTCAAATATCTCATCTCTTGAGGATAAAACGCTTGGGATGAGAATTCCGCATAATGATCAGACCGCGTAATAATCCTGGCAAATGTTCATGCCTTGAACACGAACACTTGGCGACAGAGCGACACTTTCTTGCCTCAAGAAATCGTTTATTTCGTGTCAAAAGATGATAAAATGACTGGAAATACAATAACATCTTTTACTTCTCTCAAACTTACTTTGTCTCTTGAGGAATATTAGCTAATTTCAACAAAAAATTTCATTTTTTCATTCAGTATCATCCTCCTTTGCCTGGAGAGCACCGATTTCATGCGATGTTCTTCACTCAAGAAATTCTTTTTGGTGTTAGATTATTCTTTCTTCTGGTGTTAGATCTTGATCCGTCAAATACAATTTGATCTCGTCTAATGTCTTAATGAAAGAACGAAAGATTCAAAATTTTGCCGAAAAACGCTTATCACGATCAAAATTTCACCTGTTAATCTATTTTCCGAAAATTGAATAGCTATGCATTCCCTCAGAAGACATATAAACTATCCTGCGTTCTAAAAATCGACTTCATCCGAAAACTAGGAGCTGAGATATTTGACAAAAATTGTGGGTCCCACGGACCCAGAGTGCAAGTAAAGGGGAGTCGAAAAATGCGTCGGATTTTCACGGTCAATCATAATAATCTCCGTCATATCGATATGTGATACACGACGGATTGATAAAAATTGATAATTAATCTCACAGTATTCGCAGCGAATTCCTCAATCTTTCCTTCATTTCCGGTGTAGAAGAATATCGGTGGATTTTTACCTGATTGCCATGTATTATTCACTAGATATCTAATTTCAAAGGTTTCGTTGCCAGCAAAACTGAAGTGATCGACCTAGAATAATATAAAATACATCGAAATACATTTGAGATGAATTGAGACGGTCTCTACTTACTGGTACTCTGAACTTCTTAATCACATATTTGTAATCACTGGTGTGATTATCAAGTGACGTATAATCACTGACGTTAATAATGTTTCGTCCGAATTCCGACGATACTGTAACGCTTGGGTGTACAATGGAGGCAGCCACTATTACGTATTGCAGTAATAAACCGCCGAGAGTATTGAGGCGGCAAGAGCACATCTTTGGTTGATGTTTACTGACCGGTACTACAAACAAGACTGACCAGTCGTGAAAAACGTCGTCGATAGCCTCTAACGGGTTTCCTCCCAGCTGAGTATACTGGTCCTCTCCATGTAAATACAACCGCCGCGATCTTCGTGTATGTGTGATAATGCCAATGCAGTGTTAAGGATCATTGACTGAAATTAATTCCGATGCCCTTCATGGAAATTTTTGTCAAGCGGGAGAATTCTGTAGAAAAATCCTAGTGCTAGCACGGGAAAAAGGACGGAAAGTGACGGCCAGGGAAAAATTCCAGTGAAATATTCTCGTTCTTATATGAAATTTTCAAAGAAATCCCCGGAAATTTTATCAGAAGTCCCTAGAAGTTTGCCTTAACAGCACTAGAATTTTTTTCAATAATTTCTCTCCCTCCAAAGATACGAGAAATATCGGTAATTTCAGAAATTTTGCACTATTTCCCTCTCGTATCTTGGGCCCAATCTATTTCTTTCGAAAATATAAAATAACGGGAAATGGAAACGGAAAATAAAATTAATGCAAGAGTTTATTCCTTTTGGTTAAATATTCGTATCCAAATGACTGTATTATCGAAAACAATCTGGAAATCACACAGAGCGTCATTTTCATCAATAATTTGCTTTCTAATTACCCAGTATCCGAATTCGCTAGAAAATTCTATGGGGATTTTATTTAAATTCTAGAGAATTCTCGTTAAAATTCTATTTGTTTTTTGCGCAGATTCTACTAGATATTTAATAGGAAAAAGTCAATGGAAACGAGAAACCCCTAGAATGTTAATAGAATCCCAATAGAATTTTCTAGCGAATTCGGTGAGCTTTCCTATTGAATTTTTTCATACATGAGTGGTAAAATCATGCTCACAACACTTATCAGCAAATGGACAATTATGTCGCATTTGCGAAAAAGTAAATAGATACCACCATGTGCCGCGGGCTGAGGCGCGCATGACGCGCGGGATACACTAGTGCCAGGATAAATTATGAATGCAGTCAGCAAAATCTACTGTTCATGAGCATATTTTCTCAATATTAGATTCACTTAACGGAATTCAAGAGGCAATATTGATTATCCAATAATTCTCATTGCTAGATATTTCATTTCAAGGATTGTTTTGTGAATTTCTCGCGGTACTGCTGAATCCATTCTGTTATGAATAATTTATGAACATTTCGTGCATCAATGACAGACTGAGGATCCCCTGGATGACTACCAGCCAGATCCAACTGATGGGCTCCTTCAGGAATAATCACAGCGATAACAGAATCGGAAACATTCTTGAGAATACCCCCTGTATGCCACGGATCAAGTAATCCATTACTGAAAATTATATTACTGGTCATGGAAAAGTCCGAGCATCCGTAAATCTTACAAGCCAAATCGGCTTGAGGTCTAACATAGAATAATTCTTCGCATAATCTCGCGACTCTTCCGAAATCCGCCGGGATAAACTCAAACATATCGCTGATTCCATCGGCACACTGATAGATTGACATCTCTGAACACTGCTGATAAAACCAGAGAATCTCATGGATATTCAATTCAGGTAGATCAATGCAGCCAGTCTCGGCGAAATTTTTTGCGAAGAGTTTTATGGCTTCCCTCAGGGACGACAAAATTACAGCGTCAGAATCTGCTGTAGTGTTTTTGAGAAATTTGCAGAACTCCTAAAACAATTATTATCAAACAATAATTACCAACAATTATTCAATTTTTTTCAAGACTTGATTGTTTCATTTTTCTTACGCAAACCAGATTATTTTCAAATTTTATGGAAAATTGCATTGTTGCGTGAGAAAGAAATCTTTTATGATGCACATTAATCACAAATCGTTTAGTACAGTTTACAACACTTAATTGAAGATCCTTTCAGCCTGAAGAAATAAAAAATTTTAAATTTGATTGATCTTAATCGAATTTTTACTCATGCCAGATGAAATTTCACTTTTATTCTACCACCTTCTACTATACCCACTCTTATTTTTTACTACGTTCAACAGTACATTTTTAGCGCGGCGAGTATCGTCCTCGATGACTGTGTGCCCACAGCAAAAACTAATTTTACATTTTTTCCCTGCACATGAAATGGAAAGAAACAAAGAGTGCTTGACCTGACATTTGAACTGTCATCTGAAGAAAAAACGATTGTCGCGTATTCACAGATCAATTCCCCAATTGGTTTTCCGATTGTGAAAAAGCGCTGTAGGCAATTCTGCAAAAATACTACTAGTTGTACTGAAAAGAATTATTATCGCTTCGAGTCAAATACTCGAAATAATATTAATTCTTTTCAGTGATAGATGGAGAACCCTATGTGGATCACAAAAAGGCAATAAATACCTGTAATAATAATAATAATAATAATAATAATAATAATAATAATAATAATAATAATTGACGATTGAAATAAAAAAATGTGTAAGATTGAAAAATTAATCATTTTTCAGTTTTCGACATTTTCTTATTTTAATAGTTAATTATTGTTATTATTATTATTATTATTGTTATTATTATTACAGATATTTATTGCCTCTTAGTGAAATACATGGAATTCTCCAAGTATGCAAAAAACAGTGTAGACAACTGTCGAAAGATAATACATCCAAGACTCAATTTATTAATTCGCTAAACTTTATCGCTTACAATAATTGGATAAGCTGGTAATTTTCCTGAAGGATACGGATCATTCTTAGTTGCTAATGTCGTATAGCTGGAGCTCAACCAATTTTTCAATTGCTCTGCATCACCCATATTCTCAATCGGTTTACACAGTTTCCATTCAGCTGATAACCATTCTCTTCCTTCGACTGGAGGAAAAGGAAACCGTGACGTTTACTCAAAATTATATTTAGGTCTTTTTGAGGATTCACGTACCTGTGGACGTTATATTGTCTATGGCACCCCAAGATCGACGAATTATTTTCGGGCAGTTAGCATTGGCTGCACGAAATACGTCCGTTACGGTTCTATAATATCCATGGCAGTCACTAGTTGGATCCAGTAAAAGCATCGGTGCAGATGAAGCAATAGCCCTGATAAGACATTGGAATTTTGCAGATGCTGAAGTCGAATATAGTGAACGCGAAGCGTGAGTTAAGGAGAGTCTACAGTTCAGTTGTTTTATGTTCATCGTATTCTCAAGGTAATTAATACATTTGTGTTCATGTGACGCGGCTATCGCAGACCGGGGATCAGTCAATTCGGTTAAATTATTAATTGCATAATTAATCCACAAATTAACTACACCGTTAAAAATGTTTGGCCGAAATTTCCAGTACACTCCTTCGACATTCTGATCATATGACAGTTCAATTGAAATTTTAAGCAATTTCCCGATTACAGATCTATAATTTGATGAAAAAATAAAAGGAAACCGTAAATTCCAGTTAGAGTATTCCGTGAGCATTAACAGGGATCGGGAAAATTCAGGCAATATACTTTGGAATTTGTTACTGAATATTCGTGTGAATTCGGAATTCCACTGAGTTTCCAACAGAGATTGCATGTCGTTTCATTCCTAAATCGCAATCAATATCGCCCTCCTCAGAATCACTACTAAACTGTCCATTAAATTCCCATTTTTCTAACAATTTATGAAATTACCAATCGGGACTCCTGATCGACAGTCAAATATAATTCAGTAGCGAAGTGGTAAACCGGTTTAAGTCGACTTATCTCCCAGTTGAGTTTTTGAGGAATATTTCCGAATCTAAGGGAGATAGCGAAATTTTCGTAATGACATTTGTTATAGCACTCAATTGGCTCTACAAAAAAGGACCTAACAATAATTTTGCTATCTCCCTTAGATTCCGAGATAATCATTGAAAACTGGTCACTAGTCAAAATCGACGAAATAGAATTGACGATTGTTAATTAGTCAAATGATCGTCGTATTCAATGTATTCAACTGAGATTATTCATTGTCTTGTCTTGATATTTGCCGCTCTTTGTTGTCGACTCTCCCTAACTCTCTCTCTCTCTCCTTAAAAAAAATCATATTCTATTGCACATTCACAATTTCGTTTATAAACGCTTGACTTTCTCTACCCCTGAACAATGTGAGGATACTTCATCCGGATCCACGTACTCAGCATTCCCCCGTAGGAACCCCCAAAAGCGATTACTGGACTGTGTTTCAACGCAGGATTTGACCTGAGAAACTCGATTAAATCGACGTAATCGGCTAGGGCTTGTTGAGAAGTCAAGAACCCCAAGTTTTCCACGATCAAAGTCGCCGGCTTCCCCGCTGGAAGCGACTCACCATAGTATCGATGTTCTGCGAAGACAATCAGAGCACCGAACGTCGGAGCAATGTCATACATAAAACCCTGGGGGGATGAGTAATCAATTAATTACATTTATCACACTCGTGACGTGTGGATTAATCGACGTGTGCGAAAGTCCACAGCTGCATATTTTCATTTAAACAGAATGAACACTAACAGACGTTTTGACGAAATGCGTAACTTCTTCTTCGTTTCCGGTGTAGAAAAATATGGGAGGATTTTCTCCACGTTGCCATGTATCGTTCACAAGGTATCGCATCTCGAAATTCCTTTTGAGAGAGAAACTAAAGTGATCCACCTATGGAGGTATGTTTTTCGGAGATGATTATTACAAAATTCGGAATATGATCTCTTACTTTTTTCTTCTGCACTTAAAATTCTTATGATTGATATTTTTTTCCGTTTCATTACGCACCGGTACACTGAATCTCTTGGTGACGTACTCATATCGGGAAACACTTTCTAGGGAATAGATTGAGCTCGCACATAGCAAGAGCGGTATGAGAATCTCCACGTAATTCGACAACATCGTTGAGGTCTTTTGAGTGGTGTCGCGAGAGAAACTGATATGCTACTGAATAGCTCCGACGATCACGAGAGGTTCAGTGTCAACGTGATAATGATAAATATATTCATTCCTCATTAACACTGAAGGCGAATATCTCCTCAAGATTCACAAACCGACCAGAGAGTGTCTTCATCCAGAATTGGAGAGGAATTGGAAGAATAAGTCGACATGAAATTGAAGGGATGCTGATCTTCCCAATGACGGAAAGACGTAATTTAATGCTTTTTCACATTTTCCTGACATGATTTCCATTTATTGTTCATTCTTTAGACTTCCTTCCGCTGGATGATGATGCGTTTTTGTACCATTTTCTCGTTAATCCCTCACACACTGACAGAAAAAAATGTTTTACCAAGAAAATTTTATTTGGACCAACTATCATTTTGTTGTTAATTTTCAAATAAACATGATTTAATAGTGAATACCAGTTATCTCGTCGTGAGATTTATTTTATTGGAAGAAATAGGACTTCTCTAGAATTTAAGTTTCTTTGTGAATGATGTGTGATGAGACATTAGGTTTACCGGCCTCTGCGGTTGTCTGTGAACTCAAGATGATGAAAGAAGAAACGAAAAAGTCTCATTTGTTCCATTGAACAATCTTGACATATCAGTTTCCTCTATAGAGGAATAGATCCAACCGTCATCGGGGCTTTAAAGGCGACTCTCCTTAGCTCTTCACTTCTCTAGTTCTTCGGGAGTCGCCCAGCGAGGAGAACATCGCCCCCACTACGCACAGGAGACAGCCTCGGGGGGAAAGTGTGTTTTGGGACATGGAGATGGCTATAGCATTTTCGCTCGAATAGTCGCGACGTCTCTGTCGTAAGACACTCCCCTTAAGGATGTACTACACCCTCTCGGCCAAAATTCACGTTTTTTTCATTATTCTGGAAAATTATTGATCGGCTTAACGCGAAATAATATACTGTTATTACGTTTTATCATTATTGACTGACTCACGAAGTTTCATCGCACTGCAATAATTACCCTGCATTTTTTCTAGTTTTGTGAATTTCCGAAAAGTTTGAGAAAAACCGCAGGGAAATAATTGCACGATCATGAAATTTCGTGAGTCATCAAGTAATGATAAAACGCAAAAACGGTATAATTTTTCACGTCAATCCGATCAACAATTACCAGAAAAGTTAAAAAAACATGAATTTTGGCGAAAAGGGGGTAATAAATCCTTAAGCGTAGGGAAGTGGCAACCCTCAGCTTTCGTTTCTCGAATATCGAGCCCCGAAAGTGGAGAGCTAGGGAGAGTCAATTGTAATGGATAATGCATGGAGTGATTAATCACTCGAAACTGGAGTCCTCATAGGGATTTCACGGTATTGTTGAATCCATCTCGAGATAAAAGTTCTGTGAACATTCCGGGCTTCAATGACAGATTTCGGATCCTCCGGACGGCTCCCTGCCAAATCGAACTGATGCGCCCCTTCAGGAATAATTACAGCAATCACTGAGTCAGAAACATTTTTCAAGACACCTCCCACGTGCCACGGATCCAACAACCCGTTGCTGAACACAATATTACTAGCTGCGTTGAAATCTGAGCATCCGTAGATCTTGCAGGCCAATCCCGGCTGAGGAGTGACACCAAATTTCCTCTGGCACTCATCGGAAAACTCTTCAAAATTGAATGGCTCAGGGTAGAACATATCGCGGACGCCATCCGTACAAAGGTTGATTACCAACTCCGTGCACACCTGATAGTGCCATTGCTGGTCCACGATCGGTTCGTCGGCAATGCTGATGCAATCCTCGTTAAAGTATACGAAACTTTTCGTCGTCAATCCTAACGCTGATAAAACTCCAATATCGGAATCTTCGGTCGTATTCTTCAGATGTGCGCAGATTTCCTGAAATATAGACGGGAGGTCTTCTTTGGATTCGAGACGGCATACTTTAACACCGCTACAATGTTTTCTTGACAGAGTAACCAAGAGCGCACGATTTTACAATAAAATGAATTCTACAGAAGGTTATCCAATGGTTCGTAGCAACCTTCCTGCACTGATACACTGATTCATTTATTCTAAACGAGAATCGTTAACTATTAATGAATGGTAGAGTTGAATGTGATCAAATGAATATTCGTTAATAGTTAACGAATGGTTCACTTGAAAAGTTGAAATCGAGTCAAAGCTCCTCAAATGTGCATTTGTTAACTATTTCTTCTCTTCCATTCCTATAAAAATTGCCGGAAAACGATTCCCTCTTGCGGATTACGTGAATTGTTCCGTAATTTTTACTGAATATTTCTCTCCGTGTGGCTACTCTGCCAAGGCACTCTGTGGCGCCGTTAAAGTATGCCATTCAAGGGCGTACGTTAATTTTCGTTAAGAATAGGAAAGGTTTCTTACATTGATTTGCTTCAATGTGTATGATGGCGTGGAATACTGATCGTTCGTGATTGCGAGAGATGTGTAACGACGTTGCCACCACCTTTTCAATTGGGCGATATGGGTTTTGTTTGTTATAGGAGTGCACAGTTTCCATTCTGTTGATAACCATTTTCGGCCTTCATCTGCAGGAAACAATGATCATCGTGAACTGTCATCGACTATCAATTTTTTTCTCTTTGGCGTTTAAAATTTCGTAATGCCATTGAATTTTCCATGGAATTTGGAATTGTTTGTTATTTCCTCACTTAATCAATTTCTATTAAGTTTAATTCCTTTTTCTAACAGCACGAAACGTTTGTGCACATTCGGATTTTCTTAATGTACCCTGCACGTTTGCAAAATTGATTCTCCACGGACGTTTTAGGATGGAATAAGAACTTTTTCTGTAGATAATTTTTTACAAAAAAAGCCTACACGGAGAGAAACTCTCTAGACAAATTCTAGTGCGTCAATTTTTTTAGTAGGGCTAGAATTTTTCATGAACGGTCGATTGTGATTTTTTCCAGTATTCGCAGTCGAATTTTTCTCGAGAATTTCTGTTCGTGTACTATCGGATAATCTGCAAGATCTCTTGTGCGGCAGATAAATAGAGAATTGTCTATTTTTCATCCTTCATAAACTAGATTTGTGAAACTCTTGTCATACCCGTGGCTGTCATATTGTCTATCGCACTCCATGATTGCCGAATTCGTTTAGGACATTCAGAGTCAACCGCTTCGAATGTTGAAGTGACAACTTGAAAATACGGCTCACAATCACGTACACCGTGGAACTGGAACACTGGTGCTGATGAAGCTATAGCACTGGCGGCACATCAAGGATTAGAAGGCAAATTCAACGATATTCGCAGTATGCATTGACTTGTAGTCTCATTTACCCTTGAACAACGTGAGGATATTTCATGCGGATCCATGCACTCAGCATTCCCCCGTACGAACCCCCAAAAGTTATCACTGGACTATGTTTCATCGAAGAATTCGATCGAAGAAACTCAATCAGGTCGACGTAATCGGCGAGAGCTTGTTGGGAGGTCAAGTAGCCCCAGTTCTCCACATTCAAGAAGGATTCGTTTCCGAAGGGAAGCGACTCGCCGTAGTAACGGTGTTCTGCGAAGACTATCAGGGCGCCGAATGTCGGTGCGATGTCATAAATGAAGGCCTAAAAATTTCTTTATGTCACACCGTGCAATAAGTCGGCTTCTTCAAGGGATGACATGAAATATTATAGATCATTAATACTCGGGCATAAACTTGGTTTTCAACGAATGTGAGTACACGAGTACAGACATCCTTCACATTCGTCGAAAACGAAATTTGTGCCCTTGTACTCTTATGTACTATTAAAAGTTCATGTGACAGTTTTTGCAAAAATTATTCTGCCGCACCAGAAATTTTATTTCAATGCATTCCGTGCGACAAGTCTGGTATGCTCGACTCCCCGACGTGTGCATCAAAATGATGGAACGAATATCGTTTTTCAATTACCGTATTAGAGCAAAATTAAAATGTCATTTACAGTTTAGCAGTAATTTTCAGGAGAGAAACATGGAATTCAATTCAGAGAATTCAACAATTCAATTGAATTCATTCAATTTCAGTGGAACTGGAATCCCAGTGGAACTGCAACTGATAAGAATTTCCAAGAAGTTCGCTGGAAATTTCAGTCACAAATTTTTAACACTACTATGTCAGTTTACTATAGCAGGAATGGAAAAATTACCGGATAGCCCGTAATTTTTCCACTATTTCCAGGACATTTCCTTGACCACAGTACACGGAGAGAAATTTTCTAGAAAAATTCTAGTACGAGTAATGGAAAACATCACAATTCACCGGCTGTGAAAAATTCTAGTGCTATCAAGGTAAATTTTTTCGGAATTTCCGGGGATTTCTGTGAAATTTTCACAGAAATACGGGGAAAAGTTCGTTTTCCCCAATAAAATTTCTAGTGCCGGCACTGGGATTTTTCCTGACCGTCACTTTGCGCCTCTTTTCCCGTACTAGCACTAGAATTTTTCTAAAAAATTTCTCTCCATGTACTTGTTCTGGTGCTGCAAAATGAAATTTCTGGAGCAGCTCGATAAATTTTTCAAGTTTCTTCCTTGTGAATCACTTGTAATCATCGACCTTTAGAATGATGAATAATGAATAAACTGACCGCAGCCCCAACGGCCTCCTCAATGTACAGTTCATTCCCAGTGTACAAAAATATTGGCGGATTTTCCCCACGTTGCCACGTGTCATTGACGAGATATCTAATCTCAAATGTCTTGTTCAGAGAGAAATTAAAATGGTCCACCTATTAATAAAATTTTATTTAATCCACAACTGCGATTTGCGCATTTCGATAATTATTTCTTCTCACATACCGGAACAGTGAATTTCTTAATGATATACCGCTCCTCATCACTAACTGTATCACTTTGTTCAATAGAATTAGATACGTTAACAGGATTCTGGGCTCCACAGCAATGAACTGATTTAATATGACACACTATAAATAGAGATATCAAAGTCTTCACGAATGCGGTACACATCGTTCATACATTCCTCGTGGTATCATGAGGACAACTGATACTCTGGCGACCACGATAGGTTGACGTATCGATACCCTGTTCACCAGATTGAATCATCGCGCGTGTCAACGCACACCATTATCATTGGGGAATAACATTCATACATAAGTGAACATCCACGAGGAAATCCCAGTTGAAGGCAAAACTTGTTTTTTTGCGTCATTCAATTTTCCTATAATTGTATTCATACTGTTCGAGTTATGGGAATTCCATTACATAATACTTTTTACACATGGAAAAGACCTACACACGGAGAGAAATATTCAATAAAAATTACGAGAAAAAAGACGTAAAAATTACGTTTCGAAACGTAATTTGGGAGCGAAGTAAAATTCAATAAAAAGTGTCAATCGCGACGTAAATTCTACGATCTGTTCCGTAAAAATTACTCCTCCGTCCGACGCCTCACGGCTAGCCATGAGTCACCGTGAGGAGGAGATTTTAACAAACGTTCCGTAATTTTTCCGGAACTTTTCGTAAAAATTTTTACACATCCAAGAATTTTCATGTTCTGAGGCATAATAAGTCTTGAAGTTTCTGTTAGATTTTACAACTTCCACAAAAATTACGTGACTTTTTCATATTTTTTCGGTGACAGACCCGAAAATTTACTGAACCTTTTAGATTTATTCTCTTATATTCCTATAGAAATTCACTGAAAATTCTCGCTTGCGGATTACGTGAAATGTTCCGTAATTTTTCTTGAATATTTCTCTCCGTGCATGAAACGAAAAAACTGAAGAGCTTTTTTTACATCGCGTTTATTTAGCCACAGGTTACAAGTCTGACAAAATGTTGGTCTTAGAGTCTACGGAATAAACATGATAAAACGAGGGTAGAATGGGTTGAAACTTATTACGAAGAATAATTCCGGCTTTGCACGCTTAGCATCTCAACAATGTAGTTTTGTATTTTTTAAATAATATAATAATTCACATGTGCAGATACATCATCAAACGAAATTCAATTCAGTAGCGAAATGGTAAAACGGTTTACGTCGACTCATCTCCCAGTTGAGTTGTTGAGGAATATTTCCGGATCTAAGGGAGATAGGAAAATTTTCGTAATTACTTTTATTATAGCACTCAATCGGCTCTACAAAAAAGGTTATAATAATAATTTTGCTATCTTCCTTAGATTCCGAGATATTCATTGAAGACTGGTCAATAGTTCCTGCACCATTCCATTTTTTACCGATTTTTTCTTGACGATTTCTATTACTAGAACAGTGCGCGCGCGAATTGTTTTTCATGGCTGCCAGAATAGTAAAACCTTACCGTTTCTCACTATTATTATTTTTTATCTCAATAATAATGTAGGAAAAATGAATGGTTTAAACAAAGTTTTTCACAATGAGTATTCAATTGTTGAATAATTCATTCGGAATCGTCATAGCCTCTTCTTCTTCTTCGTTTCTCTTTTGCTTTTTGCGTTCTTTTTTATTTTTAGTATTGTATATATATATTTCTTTACAGTTAAAAAAATGAAAATATAGAAAAAATATATGTACAGTATATATAGTATATATTACATGATATATACATGTATACTATGTTACATATGTATTTTTTATTTTTATTACAGTAAAAAATGAATTTCTCTTTTTTCACAATTACTGTAAACACAAGATTACAGGACATAAAAAAATATACATAGACATCATATTACATTACTTGATAAACGTAACGGAGGCTTCAAAAATCGTTGCACTGGATTTTTTAAAAGTAGATTCCTTTTTCCCCGTGCGCATATGAATCAAAGCTGAATGATCCTCAATTATGTTTTCACCATTTTTGATGCCCTCTAATCAATTACTCATTAGAATAAAAAAAGCGCCCATAAGTAAAATTAAGGATGCAACATTTGTTTTAGGCGCATAGATCATCACGATGATTCTTATAATGACTGCGGGCTAAAAGCCAGTTAGGGCGATCATATGGGTAACGCGCGGGGTGTAACTAAACGGTAGTGAGCACCGACGCTATACACGGAGTGAGTTGGAGGTCGGAGGAGTATATTGGCCATTTCCGCAGGAAGCTCTAGGTAACCTGTAACGGCCATTGAGGTTGCGGGATTTGCAGGCAAGACTCTATAAATTGTTCATCATGTCGTAACCCTATTTAATCGAGATCCTCACGTCCTTCTTCATTTTCTGAAAAAACGTCTTAATTACTGGACTCTTGAATCATGAATGAAAGACGTGAAACCTTCAATCGAGATTTTTCTATTAAATTCAAAGTCATTCCTCCTAGCGTTACTAAATGTTTACAACGAGTTGCGTTTGACTCATCAACGGACTGAATTATGCGTGAAACCTCTCGGGTTATCGTGCTGGTAATCGACATTCAGATGCTGAATACAATACTATTCTGAGAAAAACGTCTTTTGCATGGAAATGATGCCTCTCAGTCGCTTTGAGACACGAGACGAACGGGAATGTTTTTCCACTGACAAGCTAAGGGGTTAGATAAATACATTTTGACTGCCCTTGGTGCGAAGTGAGTGAGTAAAGAGTAGAGCCAATAGTACAGGTAAAGTCAGGGGAAATTTTCTAGACTGAGGTTTGCTTTATTTCAAACGGCGGAACAAAGCCCATCCGGATACCTGGTCACCGCCCATCCTGTCTAAAGTGCTGGCGTGCCTATTTCAACATTCGAAAAACAAAGTAAATGGCTGGGGCTAGGATTTTCATGTTTCTTTGGTGTGTGATAATAACAAGTCCCCTATTTTTCAACGCAACATGAACGATTTTATTAAGAAATTCACCGATAACGAACAGTTAATTATTAATTGTTCATATTAGGTAATGATCGACGTTGTAAATTTTTGTGACAGTTCCACTAGAATTGCAGGGAATTTCGTCCCTGAAAACACAATATTTTTTGAAAAAATTAATGGAAATGCGAATTTGAATCCAATTCTTCCATAAAAATTAGTGGAAATTAGGGGAATTCAGTGCCCTAGGGCTCTTTTGCACCGGGAACACGCGACTTTTGGACGGAGTGGTATAAAATATTATAGACATAAAATTGGTTTTCACCGAATGTGAGCACAGACCTCGCCTGCGGCTCGGCCTGTAAACTTCGCATTTACTGATAGAATGATTCATTTATTGAATACGAGATTCGTTAACTATTAACGAATAGTAAAGTGGAATATGACCAAATAAATATTGAAATAATTACTATAAATATATTAATATATTAATGTTAATATTAATATTATTATTCATCAATAGTTAAAGAATAATAATCACTTGCTCCCCAAATATGTGTTTGTTAACTATTAAACAATGAACATTCGGTGAGACCGAATAGACCCCAGATAATCAATATAGTTTGGTGTGAAAAATAAAAATCCTCTCTGTACCTAAAATTGACTTAGGACTGAGGGCGAAATGAACTTCCAAAAACAGTTGACTTTAACACCGAAAGATTTAACCGCCCACACCGGAGGGGTTAAATTAACACTGTTAAATTAACATTAATACTGTTTTTTTGTGTACTGAATATTCCACTGATTTTCTGTTTGAATGATCTGAAAATCAATAAAATACCTGATTTTTCAGTTCAATTATTCCGTAAAAATTCGGAAAAATCCGGAAAATTGCGGTCATTTTGCTTCTGAATATTCGTGTTCCATTGCAAATTTAGTCAAGTTGTGAGATTTCCATCTCACTCCCCCTAATAACTCATCAATTTCCTTGAGTTCTACCTAAAGCTTGAAAATGCATAACCACTTTCCCCCTGAGTCGGCATCAATGTCGCTTTCATGAGAATTACCACCACATTTTCCCTGAAATTTCAAAAAATTTTCAACAGTGTAGATCCATTGAGAAAGCCTCAAGCACGTGCCCACAGATGAATGAAAGTTTACTCGTATAGTAAGAACGGGTCAATCTGCCAATTGACCGATGCACGAAGTCTATGAACGAGTTGTCATCATCCGTCCACTGTGCGCCAGAGTCGATTCACCATCAACTACTCGCCGGAGTGGCCCCGAAAAGGGCTGCTGTTGGATTTTTACAACAGCCCAGAAAGTGAAAGAGATAAGGGTACTATAACATTGGACAATGCCGGTGGTGGGAGTCAGTCGAGTGGCTTGCGGCCACTCGGAGTCAGTTGCTCTTATGCTCGCCAGCAACCAACAACCCACTGAGCTCTCACGCGCACTCCGTTACACCACTCCGGAGATTGTTTATTTGAAACCCCCGATGATAAACTCACCCTCGACTCCAACAGTGACTATTTCAATTGAATTAATTAATGTTAGGTAATTAATCAACGATGCGCGGGTTCATTGCAGTATTATTTCGTGAAAAAATTGTGAAGTGAGTTGATGAATTTTGCAAGAGGTGAGGTGCATAAAACGTGTGCCACAGGGGGGATGAAGATGACAACGAGAAGTTGAGAATTTTTACGAATTGTTTGACGCATCTAGTGCGGCGTAAGAAAGTGGGAGAACGGGAAAATTGTATTATGTTAGGAAAGGGATTATGTGTGATACTGAAGGTGCTGCTGTTGGCGCGAAGCGCACTCGCGCTTTTGCCGGAGGGCCTCGAGGATCAATCCATTATTATCGGAAATTTGCAGGACGATTGTGCCGCTCGGTGTCCCGATCTAGACCTCACTCAGGTAAACAATCCCTAGAGCACTCCACTTGTTGATCCCCCATTGTTTTGTTCCAATAGGTTTAAAGTTCATGCTGCACGAGCTGGCGGGAGATACGCAGCCTCATGGTTGTTTATTAATTATAATCGCGTGTCTAAAAAAAAACATAGAGTCGATTCTCACAGAATGATGATTTACGGTGGAGGAATTGTTCGTTTTTCCTGTTGTTGGAGCGTTGGGAGTTAATTGATAGCGTGAAATATGCGAGGGTGGAGATTTTTGCAATATCTTTTTCATTTTGTTTATGCAAAAGTGCGGGAACAAGCGCCTGACAATGTGATTGGCGAATTTTTTCGCGGTTTAACAGTCTTTCGAGGAGTTTTTCGGGCTTGATTAGATAGCCGCTGGGCAATTTATTGTGTTGTGTACTCTAACGGCCAAAAATTTCACGATGAACTCATGACCCACCGAAACATCACGAAAAATTTAAGCGTCGAATGAAGGACGTACCAATTTAACTCGAGTTACTCTCCAGTCAGACTGTACCATCCATTAATTAACTTAACTACACGACGCATCATCGCCGACCATAAGCACATCAGTATCTCGACCCGAGGCCTCGGAAGACCGAAAAATATGAATACGACGATTTTTAGTGTCCCTCGTATAATCGAATAATTTCGAATGAAAAAATTGAATGGAGTAATTTCAGGGAATCATAATATTATTACCTCAAGTATCATCGAATTACGGAAAAGAATGAGGCGCGCAGTACACAACGTCAGATTGCCGATCTGGAATAGTTTACATAACTCGCCACGCCGAATGATCACAGCGAATTATTTCATATGCAGTTGCATATCCACATATTCCACCTGCAGGGAATCGCTCTCCTGCAAGAATTATTCTTTCATTTTTCACCGTCCTCAAGTTATAGCCGCATGTTTAGTCCAATTTAAGATGGAATTGTTCATCAATTTCATGAAATTGTTCATTTTTTGGAATTGAACATTGTTTATTTTGAATTTTCTATACGTTGAGAAGAATAGTTGCCTGAATTTTTGTAATATTCAGCAACTTTTGTAGTCTTACGGACCTGGTAAGCGGAATCCCTTTGAATATTCCAGAGGTCAACTAATTAATCATTAAAAACGCAGATGAAATTTTCAACTAAATTCTTCAATTTATTAATTCTTCGATTAATTTTTAAACAGTGTTGTTTAGTAACATAGCCCCTCTTTTTCAATTACGAAATATCATTATCTCTCATTTAATGAGAGTTATCTGATCACATTAATCGCTTTCGAAAGAGTTGACACGTTTGAAAGAGCGTGAGGTCCAAAGTAATCACTTTTTTTCTCTCGTTGGAGCCGATAACGGCGCGTCCCAACAAATCATTCGGGAATTCAACGTATATGCAGAGATGAAGGGAGTAGGGTGAAGAAATGTGGATGAAATGGAGATGGAAAAAGCCCCCAGACGCGCTTCCGTGTTTATAATAATGCGGCGCCGGTGTCATCGATAAACGAGGGTGTGAAAAATAAACGCGAAGGAAAAACTTTCAAGCGTATCGCGTCTCCTCGACTTGTGACCCAACCCGTGAACCTGCACAAGACGGGTGGAATAGATGTTCTATGTTTTCAGCCACCGCTTGAATTGTCCACTCGCGGGGGATCATCGAGTGACACTCGAATGTTTTTTTCCAGATTTTTGCGAATTTTGCAGATTTTTCGACCCACAAAATTTGACACTCATTTCATTACAACGAAGTGTGATGACTGGGTCTCCGCTATGACTCTGCCTAAAGTATTCATTCACGCAAAACATACTAAATTCTCAACCAACATTTACCTGAATTTCCCCAAATTCCGAAAATCACTCCATCTCTTTCACAAATAAAATTAAAAGTATCGGGAAATTCCCGATAATTTTGAATCACTCGGGGTACACCACAGCCAATAAAATTCTATTCGACGCCACGTGGTACAACCTACACGTTTTCAACTGAGAATGTTCGGATAATTTTCTAAAAGATCTTTCAGTCGAGTGAACCCCTCCTCGAAGCTGACTGGTCTCATGGTGCAATTCTCTTGGTCGAAATTTGGATGGGAAAAACAATCTCTCAAATAATGGAATATAACTCTAGGTTCCATGCATCCAAATGAAGTCCAAATTTTTTAAAGAACAATAACTCGCGTATAAACAATAATTCAAGTTATAAACTTGACTCCTTCCTTGATAAATTGAAAAACTTGACTCTCGCGATGTTATAAGTGAGGAAAATTTTCTGCGGCTGACCTGTATAGCCGATTTTCAGTTCAATAGGAATACGGTAACAATGTTGTATGCGTACACCGTGCGGTACAATCGACTTCCTGTACGGGCTACATCCTCTCACCAATATTACACTGGATGGGGTCCGGCCGCGACGCACTAAGGATTCCGCTGGGTTATTGGAGATAAAAAAAATGTAGCGTCTCAATAATTCGATAATTGTCGGTGGATACTGCTGGAGGGATGATCAATAGAGGATTCCGGGAAGTCGGCGCCCGTAGATGGGAGATACGTTTTCATTTATTATACGGGTGGTTCCCGGCTCCCTCATATGATTCGGCCACTTTGGGAATATTTGACAATTGGGGGGGGCACGCTTGTCTGGGAGTTTTTTGCCCTTTTCAGAGGTCATCGGGTTTACCAGGAAGATGGAGGTCCCGGGTTAATCGAAATAGGGAGATTAATGTGCGTTTGTTGACGGAGTTTGTCGGGTTTGTATCAAATTTTCGTGAGAATTTAACGGGGGAGTGGAGTATCGAGAGTAGCAACTCCTCCAATTGCACTTCTTTCTCTTAAATTTTGTTAGAAAATGACTTTTGGAATTTTTTGCAAAAAATACTTGAAATTTCTGACGGCGATTAATTGTTTTAATTGTAGTATTAATTGTTTATACACTAAGAAAAACAATTACTTGGGAAAAGAATAAGTTTCTTGAGAGAATTTATTTTTTAGATCCAAGTCCATTTTCAAACGTTACAATCACGTTGAATTATGGGATAATTATGCTACATATGACCTTCAATGAACTCCGCTGACAGTTATTAACATTTAGAATTATTCTAAATTATTTTACGTTAGAATATCTCAAATGAAAACAATTGAAAAATAATGGTGTTAATGGTTAATTCTTCCCCCAAGAAAGTGATTCCTTGACAAAAGTAATCTTTTTCCCCGTTTAGTAAAATTCTCTTTTTAATCAATCGATTAAAAATTCGATTAAAAGTAGTCTTCAATTTTGTAAATAACACTCAAAATTCAAGCAAAGACTCAATTTAATTCAATTTCTACCATAAATATGAAATTTCGTTAACAATTTGATCTGTTGCATTTAATTCACAACACAAAATAGTTAATTAATCATCAAATGGAATTGGCAGAGTTGCAACCATGTATTGACTGTCTCAAAATACATCCAGATTTCCAAATTTCATGAGATCCATGAAATAAAAATCTCTCTGCAGGTGTTGTATTACCCACGCAGGATACGACCTGTCACCGTATACCGTGTGACTGCATTAGTCCCTTCACCCTGTAAACAACTCCAGATATTGCGGTGAAATTGGGCCAGATTAATCCCCACAAACAATCACAACCTTTACATAGTTCTGTTTTTTCCAAATTCGGAAGGGTCGGCAGGGGGAGGGAGGGAGGTTGGGAGAAGGGGGAGGGGTCGTGGGGCTTCAGATTTGTCGGGCTTCGATGTTTAAAAGGGAAAACTTATGATTTTGTATTTGTGGAAGACGCCCGTGGGAGAGCCTTGAGCATGGTCATTTGGAGGGAAGGTGCAACAGTTGGCGTGCGCTGTCGGGCGTAACGAAGACGTTGTAGTTGCGGACGTACGCCACGGCGAACAGGTACACCCATTAGTCCATCAAACGGCGACTTTCGACGGTTTTTTTCACTCGGCGGTATTCCGTTAATTTGATAAAAAAAAACCTCTCCTTGATTTCACTTGGACACGAAGGTTTTTATTCTTTCAACAAAAAATATGACCAGTGAATTCAATGACTGTTTTATTATATAATTTTGAGAAAAAGCGGTTTGATTTTTGACTGTTAATTGTTAAAGTATTGTGCAATAGTTGAATTTGATGGAAATTTTTTTAATTTATTTTTAATCTTCAGTTGGAGTAGTTAGGTCAATTCTTTTATGTCTGTTGACCTATCGTCCGCCGGATACCTGATTTTTACTCATTACGAGTCGGAGAAAAGTATTATTCCTTAACTTTCGAATTTCAGTGGAAAAAATCGGTCTAATTTCTTCATATTTTTACACAACCGTTCAATCGTGATAATAAATTTTTATTCATTCATGATGCAAACGGAATTATTACTTATCTCAGTCGACGTAAACATGGGAATGCGAAATCTTCTTTCTATTCTATTCTCGCGAACGAACAGCAATATTTATGAGTGATCACCGAAAAAGTCCACGAAATTCTATAATTTGTTCAATAATTTTTATTGAATTTTTGTCGTCAATTGTTTTCCGTGCATAGGATTAAAATCAACTCGAAGGAAACAACTATTTAATCATTTTTGAAATTTTGTGAAATATCGCACCAATTTATTGACTCTGTTTACCGGCTCATCCCACCGGATACTCAATTTTTATTTATCCATGATGAATCGTAGATGAAAGAAAAAAATTGCGCCTGAGTCAATGAACAGGGCCCATAAAAAAAAGATAAATTGAAACGCTTGCACCCTTCAAAACCCACTAAATTGTTTCATCCGGTTCAATTGGATAACCCTCTGGGCCTCGACCCCGGCGTCGTTATGATGAATCGACTGAATATAAAATCCGGCCAGGGGAGGACGCGATCATGATAAAAGTAGAAAAGAAGAAAAAAAATAGCCACGAAAATTGTGCGGTGGGATAATACACGTGAGACTGTATCGGACGATTGCACAGGTTCACCATTGGCTACTTCCGGGACACAGGTGGACTCGGAAGTGTAGCCACCGTGCAGAGGAATTTTTTTTATTACTCGCTTTTCTCTACAATATTTGAAGGCTTTTTGTGGAGGGTGTCAACCGAAGCGTGCCAGTCCTCGGGTGAATGTGCATGGGAATAGTCAAGGGTGAATTTTGGACTCGTTAATTACTCTGTATTCAGGAATTTTTAATTCTTCATTTGGTTAAATTAGCATTTTCAAATAGTTTGTTTGCATGTAATGATTTAATCATGATTCCCATGAAATACGAATGATCATTTCTGAAAAACTTTTTTTTTCAGTAGTAAAATAAACTTATCAATTTGTGTCAATCATTTTCTTTTATTTTTTGACACATTCAAAGCGGTCAAAAACACAATAACAAATTCGATTTCCTTCTGGAGCAAAATAATTCTTTCAGTTTAAAGCAATATATACACAACTCAAAGTTTAAACTGGTGTTATTAATAATAATTAATTTAGAAGTTCCAAAATAACACGGACTTATCAGAAAATGAATATTTCAAGATTAGAGAAAAGATTAAAACGCAGAAAAAATCAGAAAAAAATAATGACAAATTTTCTGCCTAATACGAAAATTATGATCGGTGACAAACTTTTGTAAAATAATTTATGTGTCTGGATACCTCGAATATGCAACTATAGTTTAAGAAAATAATTGTAGTGAGAATATGATGGATCAATTTTTTACTCTCGTCAAAGCTACATTCATATAAGAAATTATCAACGATGAATACTTTTCTATTTTAATTCAGTCCACCTATCAAAAAACCACCTAAAATTTCAATTTCTCCATTTTCAATTGTTCCAGAATCGTACAGATGACGCCAGTACAGAAGTGGGCTGTGGAGTTCGTTGTAAGATAGACCAGGTGCGTAAACAAACAGCAAAACAAAAATTGTCGGCATCTCTATGATAATTCCTATCAGTCCCAGCTACCAGGGGTCAACCTAACGATTAATTAATTCCTGTACAGTTCCTCTGATTGTCATTAATTGGACCGAAAGAGTTAATTACTCCTAAGGGGGGCGAATAGGGTCTCTCGCGTCTGATTTCAAAACGGAAAAAAGCGCTGAGTACTGCTCTCCCTCGGAAGTTGATTCGGACGAGACACAGGGAAAAGTACAAACCGGGGTCCCTCGGTGCTAATGACAGTACTTCCGGCCGATTTTACGGGGTGGTTCAATCGGCGCTGGAAAAAAAAGCAGCGAGGGCGAGCAGAGAGCAACAAATGAAAACAAACACGACTGAAACAAGCAGTGTAATGTACCAATGGTAAAGAATAGTCCGCGGTAACATAGTTGGGGCTTCGTGACTTTTAAATTGGATCGCGTACAAGTGTTGCCTTTAACGGATGTCATCAAATTGACGTGCGACCCCGGATTCTGCCTTGTTGATCTGTGCGGAAGTTGGGACGAAAATACAACATTTGAAGCTACAAATAGTGATGAGAAAAAAATTTAGAAAAACGGGGGAAATTGGGATGAGCGGCAATTAGTGGGTGGCATTAATGGGAGCAATTATCGGGGGCGTAATGGGTGAGAGGGGTGTCATCTTATCTGAAGACTGCAATCTCATCTTGATGGGAGAGTCTGCAACGTGATTTAATGATCGTTGAGCTCATTCGAGGGCTATTGGTACTGATATAGATGTCTTGACTGAAATAGATGCATGTTGTGTCCTTCATTGGTTATATACATTTGCCGTTAATCTGTGATGAATGTATCTTTTTATTGGCTGAGTAATCACAAAAAAATGAGGCTGCTTGCGGATAATTTGATAGTTGCCTAGGTCATTCTATTGGATTTCCATTGGACATCTATTGAAAAATTCTGAAGTTTTTCAAATAAAAATGTATGAAGTATTTTATAGAACACTTCAATAGATTTTCATGTTACTACAAAATTTATTCTATTGAGTCTTTCAACAGAAATCCGTCGACATAAATTTTTCCAGTTGTTTTCTTTGCTTTTTTTTCTTTCGTTGAAAAATTCAAGCAACAAATGAACAATTTACGCCAAGAAATTTTTGTAGAAATAACCTGAATAAAAAAAAATGCATAGAGGGATTAAAATGTATTGATTTTTTCTATTCCATAATTTCTGTTCAAAATTTCTATTCAAACAAAACGAAAAACAAACAGTATTTTTCCCCATTTTTTTGTACATGTCCAGTAGTTATAAAATTGAAAAATACAACGAAAAACACCATTGATGGGAAGGAATTGGTCACCAGAATACTCCCATTTCCAAAAAACCCAAAAAACTTATCAAACAATGAAGATGTGTACAACGGGATATACAGGAAGCTGTTAGTGAGGGCATAAAATCGTTGAGGATTTAATGAGGAAGTGAGAAATTAACGGATGGAAAGAGAGAGACTAATACTCGTGTCATATTTTCCCCCATATTCTAATTCATTCACTTTATTTTCCATTATTTTTCACTCTTCCACGTATCTATCGTTCAACTTCTGACGTTTCTTCCTCTCCTCCTCCTCCTCCT